AGGCTTTACAGAAGTCCAGATAGATGACATCTGTTGCTTTTCCCTTGTCCACTGATGCAGTCACTCCTAGGCAGGACTTGCCCTTGGTGAATCCGTGCGGGCTGTCTCAAATGACCTCCCTGTCTTCCATGTGCTTGAGCATAGCTTCTAGGAGGATCTGTTCCATGATATTCCCAGGCACAGAGATGAGGCTGACAGGTCACTAGTTCCCAAGGTCCTCCTTTCTACCCTTTTTAAAAATGGGTGCAACATTCCCCTTCCCTTGCATCTTTGACGGATGGAATGTACTGGACAGAGTAAAGCAGACCTTCCTCTGCTCACCTTGGGTGCTCACACCAGGACTGGGTGTGCTTTGACACAAGGTTTTCTTTAGAGAAAGAAACTCTGAAAGTGAAGAGAAAGGAAAAGTCCTTCCCCAAAGCAGCAATGTGGTTTCCAGTCTTGATGGTCTAGGTGTTGTTAGGAGCTCATAGGAATCTAGGCATGGAGGCCATAGCATTTTTAGATGCTAAGTTAAAAGCAGTAGGTTTTTTGGCCATTAGAGACCCCATGATGTGCAGTGTGATTTTGTCCTGGTGCAGTTCTGGGAAGTTTAACTGCATCCATTAGTGATTTACCTCAGTGTCCATCTGACATTTAGAAGTTAATTTGGCTATGGCAGATAACAGTGTTTTTCCTCAATTTTCCGCCTTGCCTCCCTTCAGGAGGCAATCATCTCCATTGCAGGGAAAGCGAACAGATTGGAGTTCCACTCCTGAGCGGTTCTTTGGTCTCGTATTCATGTACATCATTGCCATTTTCAGTTTACATGAATAAACCAGGTTGCAAATAATTCAAAAGCAGATACGTGTGTGCTAAATATTCTCTGGTAGGGGGGCAGTAACTTCCACGAGAGGATGGGAACCAGCAGCTGTAAGTAAATAAGCTGTAACTGTGAGGCCAGCAGTATCTCTCTGAGGTGCTGCAGCTGCAAATGTGAATTGGAGCCCTCAGCTAGCTGCTACTGTCATTCCCTGGAGTTGTTGAAATTCCATGTTTATGGGCTGAGATTTTCAGATGTGACAGAAGGGGCTGGGTGCACAGCTCTTGTTGACTGACCACCCTAAGACACGTCTGGCAGTCTTAGCCCATAATATGGGATGTGCTTTAGAATAAAAGGTGCAGTGTAAACATCGGGGAGTTCCAACATGACCCCATTGCTTCACTGCAACAGGGCTTCCAGGAACTTGATTGTACATAATGTTAGTGAATGGCAATGACTGCTTAATTCAAATAGTATTACCATAATTTTTGCTTACTGCCAAATGTTGATTAATTAGATGTTAACTAGCTGTGAAATTCTACAGTCTGGTCTTTTGATGGGAGACTTGCCAAATTGTGGAGGCACCTAAAGTGGCTTCTTAGGGCTAGTGAAGCTTTTCTCATGAAGTGGAACTAGTACCTTTCTGCTTTGCCTTATATTGACTGCACTTATTTTTTAAGAATTTAGGGGAATGTAACCTTAACTTTACTAGTGCAACCCTGAAAATGTTTGTCTGGTTCTGCAGTGAGGGCTTCCACTATGTTTATGCAGCAGTGGTCCAACCAAGCTTCTGTAGCCTTGACCCTTTGTTCTTTTGACTCAGTGGGACAATCTCTTTGGAAAAGTGGAGTTGGGTCCATACATTGTGTTTATCACCCCTAAGGGAAATAGCTGAACAGTATTGTGAGGGCTCCTAGTCTAGTTCCTCTTTGGAGAAGGGAAGGAATTAATCTTTATTCAGGCAGCTGGAGTATGGGTCAAATAAACAATACAGTTAGTTGCATTGGCATGTAAATAAGTATTACAATAACTCAATAAAAACCTAAACCAGAATAGAGTAGCATTGCTACTCTCTAATACATGTACATTTGTGGTGCAAGCAAAGTAGCTGCATAACTATAGTGGGGAAAATTTGATAGCAAGGACTTCAGCATGACCATAATAATTCACTTGGCAACCTGAATTATGATTAAGTCTATAATGCCTGTGCCTTGTTCCTATTAGTACCTGTGCTACCAGCTTAAAGCTAGCCTGGGTTTGCCCACATACGCTACTCCAGTGTAGACAAACCATCAGAGCGTAACACTGCATTACAGTTGTTTAGGTGGTCATGACAATGTAAAAGCTTCCAATCTTCCTCCAGCTGTTGTTTCCAAGTCTTGTGCAAAAGTTACCACTACCTCAGTGGTGCAAATGTGAATGATGTAAAATGACTTTTAAAAAAGTTTTAAATCCAAATTGTTTTACTGATATATATTAACACATGTACCCAAATCTGTTTTCAGTTCAGTGAGGTGGCAGAAGAGTATGGGGACATAATCTGTGGTGAAGGTGGTACAACTGTTAAGGATTTTTGTAGAAACTGTGGGAAACAACACAGTCATTTTGAAGAGTGATTTGTGATCATGTATTTAAATACTATGCTGTTATGCTCTCCGTTAACAGCAGAGGGAAAGCTGTATGTCCAACCCTAATGCTGCCAGTGTTGATGCGAACATTGGAACATTCTGTCATCTTGCTGAATCTTTGTCCCACTACAATTATCTGAATGCTACATCTGCTAGTCTAGGAGATACCCCAGGAGATGCATTGCCCACTGTACTTCATGAAAAGCCTATCCTAAATCTGTCTTTCACTTGCTTCTGAGTTTGTACTTTAAAAAAGAATAATGGTAATTGGATTTTATTGGTTTGTTTGCTTGGATCTGCTGTGGCATCATTTATCTAATGCAGATGGTAGTTTTCCTCTAGGTGGAAATATGTACGCACAATGGCACAGTGGCAGCAATGCCGCACTGTTGTGCTAAGTAGAAAATGGAACTGGATTTTTTTTAAATAAATGGGGAGATGGTTTATTTTATTTCTTTTACCACCTCCTCCTCCATACACCTGAAGTGGCAAGTTAACAGCCATGGGAATTGGATTGAATGGAAATACTGCACATTATTACATGGCTGCTTTTCCTGCTAGTGCTTTTGGCAGAATGATGAATTCTTCTGTGATGATAACTCTGTGTGATGGGAGTTGCTGGTGAGTGTCGTACAGAGATGGCCCAGCCCACTGTCTAAGGGCAAACCTTTTAACTTGAAAGGAATGACAACAAAGTGTGGCTTCTAGCAGGTTACTAGTTACTGCTGTAGCTACTCAAGCCCAGCATTCACTAGAAGAAGCAGTCCTGCCTTCCGCTTTCCCTATTGCTGCCCATCCTCCCAACACATGTTCTTTGTCTGAACACACACAAGTGCTTCTGAATCAGGTCAGGGAACTGATCCCATTGAGAACTAGCTGAGCAATTCCTCAGTGACTCTTGTAATACAGCTACAGAAACATTTGTGTCAGTACAGGAGGAATGGGGAGGCACAAACTGCTCTGGGACAGTGAGACTGCACTCTCTCTTGGTGTCAGGACCAGCCTGGTGTTATCAAATTGTAACTTTGAGGTGCAATTTCCCAAGAGGCTCAAGCCAACCCAAGTATGTGTTGCTATCAAAACAAAAACAGTCTTTGTGCCCTCAGCTTTTGTGTGTGTTCTCACCTCTTCCAGCCCCTACAGCTTTGTGGGGTTCCAAGTGAGCTTTCTTGTCTGACTGAAAACTAACCCACCAAAACCACAACAAAATTTGTTTTGGTTGGAATCAGCGCTCTCATCTGGCTAACCACAGAGTCATACAATTGCTAATGGTGGCACAAAGGCAGCAGCAAGCTTGTGTGGCTACAGATGGGGAGAAGGCTGGACTGGCACTTTCTAGATTGACTTAAACCTCTTGTTAAATTGCTACTTAAGAGAAATAAGCTAACAGTATTATCTCATGGCAGAGAAGAGACAGGTATTTTGTATGGCAAAGAAAAGGGGGATTCATTTTTGAGGTGGTCCAGTTCCAAGGCTAGCACTGCTTGTCCTAAGTGCTGCTCTAGATCTCAAATAAAAAACCTTCACTGACATCAGCTTAAAAAAAACCATGCTAGAATGGCATCTAATGCAGTCCTATTCACACTGTGTCCACTGTAGCAGGAATACACTTTCTTCAGTTTCCTGTTTCCCTCAGATCAGCAGGAAGAATCGAATAGTCTGAAGTAGCCTATGGGAACTGATCATTGCTTTTCTGCTGATGTAAGCTAGCACCTGGGCTTTTGAAAGGGAGGAAGCAGAACTGAGCATTCCCACACCCGCTTTGTGTTTTCAGACCTTAAGGGAACCGCCTCTTCTTTTCATAAGTGTGGTTTGAATGACCCCTGGTGGAAGCTTCAGTCAACCAGGATTGTTAGGAGTTAGGTCCCAACATGAGGCTTCAGTTGGCCAACCTTAGGCATGCACATTTGAAAACTGTGGCTGCTAATGGAGATGGGTTTGTATTCAGGTGGAGCTGGGCTGGATCCATCAGCAACCTATATTCCTTATGTTGCATCCTGTCTACTTACATTCTTCGTATCACAACACCTGAGCCTCGTGTGTGTGTGTACTCACACATTCCTTCTCTCTACTCTCTCTCTTTCCCCGTACCTGTATATCCAGGGTGGAAAAGTTTCATTACAGTTGGTGTACCCTTATTTTTCCTCCTTAGTGAGGCAGCCCAGTCTAGCCTGTCTGTTGCATTGCTCTGTCTCTACGCTGCCCTCCTGTCTGCTCTCCACATGCTTTGTGAGTACCTCCATGCTGTCCTGGCACTGTTCAGTTATGGTAAATATCAGCTAAGGCAAGGGGCTGTGTCATATGTTTTTAACATTAAGAGGATAGTCCACCAGGTTTCCCCAATGTGTATGCAAATCCCCATCACCGTTTTCTGAAAGTGGGAACTGGATTTCAGTGCATACTCTTCAGGTTTTCCCTGCTTGCTTGATGCACACTGATCTGCTTAAGGAGCTTTGGACACTTCAATACCTTACAATCCTGGCTACAGAAGACCCCTTTAGGTAATGGTAAAAAACCACCACAACCATCTATTGATAACCATCTATTTTTCTTGTCTTTTTTTTTGGCAGGCTGATTTGAACACCAATATTGAAGATGAATCCAGATCTTTCTATGGCGTTTCCAGCCAATATGAGAGCCCAGAAAACATGGTCATTACCTGTTCCACCAAAGTGTGTTCCTTTGGAAAGCAGGTGGTGGAGAAAGTGGAGGTAGGGAGCAGATACCTGGGTGCAAGGCTGTCTCTGGCTGCTGTTTTGTCACTTCAAGTATTTGTATCCTGCGTATATCTCAAGGCAAAATACATCCCATGCTTGTTGTCAGGGAGATGAATGCCATAGCTTATTATTTCTGAGACATGCAGGTATAAGATTGCTCCAGCCTGCAGCATGGCCTTGTCTCAGGACTTCATTGAAGGTCTGGTAGTGTTTGCTATTTTTTCCTTAAATCTCAGTTTTTGAAGACATGTGAATATGTGAGACTCTTGGGTCTGGTGATTCTCTCGGATTTTTGGGGGAGCAAAGAAAAGCTAGGAAACCTGGACCCTTGTTTTGTAGTCCAAAAAGATGAAAACAAATAGGCAACACCTCAGTGCCATCAGTGTTTTTAAACAGATCATTTATAGACTATAGCCATTAATTAATAGACTGTAATAATTTACAGACTATAGTCTTATGATTTTATGAGGGTTATCTTAGTGTTTGTACACTTACAGCTTGAGCAACAGCAGAGCTGCATAATTATGCATATATCTGGCACTGAAGAAATTCTTTCTGATGCTACATTCAGCTGCTAAGAGAGCTGCTCTGATGTGCTTCCTGCTGCTCTTTCTCAAGCAGCCTTTAGATGCAGGAGGAATGGCTGTGTGCAGAACACCAGGTGTTCTCGTGTCAGCAGTCAGTTCAAGCTACATCCTTCCCCAAGACCCTTCTCCAGTCATATGATAGACATGCCTGATACCTGGTTATGTATTTGCATGATGGGATAGATAGTCCAAAGAAAGGTGTCATGGTGCACAGGGAAGACCAAGCTCTTGGGGTGAAAGGAGGTAACAGGCATTTAACAGTCTGCTGTGAAATGATAGAATCCAACCTCAGCTTCTGTTCAAAGGAAGATGAAGTATGCAGGAGCTAAGATGTGAATGTGAACAAAAAAATCCCTCTGTGTAACATTGGCCAGACCATCTCCTAAGGGGGAGCAGAGATACTATGAGATACTACGAAGGCTTTAGTCCTTTCCTGCTGTGAAGCATCCTGAGCGTACGATTACCATCATTACTAGGAGCTTCCTGGTCTTGCTAAAGCAGCATTTTTTAACTTTTTCAGTTTATCCATACCTGATATTTTTCCAGTAGAGATGCAGACCATAGTATAGCTGACAATTGGTCTGGTCCTCTTAGTTACCTTTCACAGCTCCTTGGCAGTTTGCTACTCATAAACTGGAACCCACTGTTGTAAAGAAAAAGGGAATCAATCCAAAGAATTTAGAGGGCTCAAGGAGACTGACCTTGGTGTGAAGTACTGTAGAGGAATGATTAATCAGCTCATTACTGTTAGTAAAATGACTTGAAAATGCCATCATAATTTTTCTGTTCTGAGTCCTTTTATGTGATTAATGCTACTAATGTGACAACATTAGCTCCATATGCCCCGTTTGTGTTTTACATTGCAGACAGAGTATGCACGCTATGAAAATGGACACTATTCCTATCGCATTCACCGTTCCCCTCTCTGCGAATACATGATAAACTTCATTCATAAACTCAAGCACCTTCCTGAGAAGTATATGATGAACAGTGTGCTGGAGAACTTTACTATCTTACAGGTGGGACTTTCAACTGTTTTCATTGGAGCTTGGAAACATGTAAGCCCCATGCAGGAGTTCACTGTTGTGAGTCAAAGCAGATTTTCTTTTACAGCTCAGCATCTAATTGAACTTAGTATCTCTCACATGTATTGCACCTCAAGACCATTTATGGAGTTCTAGAGATAGTAACTCATGCAGAGAAGCAGCAGAAGAATTTGAGAGGCCTGAGTAAGAGAGAAAAAAAAAAGAAAGATAAAGGGAGAACTCATGAGGCAGAGAGATAAAGGAAGGAGAAAGATGCAAAAGTCAGTCAAGGAAATGCTCACTCCATATTGGATGAACGTTGAAGTTCTTTCTGTGTCCTGGCCCTTTTTGCAAGGTAAAAAAAAACAAGAACACTGTTAAGTGGCTATATAATTTTGTCATGAGAAGAGTTCTTCACTGACCAGATAGATAGCGGGGAAAAAAAAAAGTTGTTTCCTCAGGACCTCCTGAACCTGGAAAGAATATGGAGACACGTAAAGGAAGGAGCGTGTTGGGGGAAGCTCTGTGACACATTCATGAATCACTGCAATCTCTAGGTAGGGCAGTACTACAAGGCTACAGCAACTAGATTTGCATTAGTGTCTATGTTATACCAGGAGCCTTTCCAGGCTCAGATGCAGTCTAAATTTGGGAATAGGGCAAAGAGCTTAAAAGTTGGATTTTCCTAATGGACTGAGTTCTGTGCTTGGCTCTACAAGATGCGTCACAGATCTTTGCCCAGAGAACCCGAGTTTGGGTAAGTAGAAGAGATGCTAGAGGCTATATGAAAGAATGGAAATCAAGTGGTCTTCATTTCATCCTCTGGAGATCTTGTGGGACTTCAGGCAACTCATTTCACTGCTCTGTGGCTCAGGTACCTCAGCTATAAAACAAGGTTAATAATGTCCTCACATTATTAACCTCACACAAAGTTAATAATATACCTCACAGGGCTTTACGAGGCTTTACTCTTTCATGTTTGTACTAAGATCTTTAGCATCTGGAAGAAAAGAAGAGTATAAATGTTAAGAGTTTTTTTAGATGAGCAAAAGCATGAAGAGGGCAGGGACAGAGAGAAGGCCTGTGTGCTGTAATCCATACCAAGGAACACTGTAACTGCTTTCTGCATGTTTCATTCCTCAGTCAGGCCAGCACTTGCTATAAATTTTACGAACAAAGTTAGTTATAGTTATATTTCCTCTGGGGCTTTATGTTTTGAGTAGTCTCATGTCCTTCCCTTACCTCCTGTCACAGAGAGGCATCTCATGCTGGTGCTGGCACAGCCTTTTATATATTGCCTTGCAGTCCTGCTCCCTGAGCAGCAGGCTGAGCATTTTCCACCCCCACTCCCCACTGTGGAGCTGAAAAATGGTCATGCTTAAGGCAAGGCATGCTGCTAGTCCTCAGTCCCCACTACCAACTTCTGAGGCAAGTCTAATTATATTTTTTCTAGACCCTTTCATGAGCTTAGATACTCCTAATCATGCAAGCATGATTTATCTTGCTTTGCACATTGCTCTGGATCTAGCCCTCCAAGATTTCAGAGCCCATTTTTCAGAAAAGGCTCTGGTGCTTTACCACGCTTGGATGTGTGTAACTCACAATGGCCTGCAGAAGAAAGGAGAAAGGTTAGCTCAGCTGCAAACCCAATCATGAAGTAAGAAAAGAAAACAGAATAGACCAAAATCAGGCTGCTAAAATTAATAAGCAAGTTTGAAAACATCTATTTTCTTTCTGTTTTCACAAGAACGGTTGGGCTTTTGGTACAGTTCAAGCCTCCAGCTGGTATGTTTTTCTTCTGCAGTTGAGTTGGTGCTACAAATACAAATGTATCTCCTCCAGCAGGAGAGAACTGCTTGAAGCTTTAGCTATGGCACAAACTCAGATGACGAGAGTGTGCAAAGTTGTGCAGTGACAGAGAGAGGGAAGCTGAGCTAGGAGCTCTGGGTGCAACATTTTGCTTGTCCCTGCCATGTAGTATAGGCAGTGCATGCTTCTGAAACTAGGCCAACACTGTTCTATCACCATGCTGCTGACACTGAGTCACACTGCAGAGAAGCTAAGGTTCCTGAGGGACCACAGAAAAAGAAATAGAAAAAATGGAGCTTCTGTAAGAATGCATGAGTATAGCAGCCATCCTCCTCCTGACATCTGCAGTGTATGGAATGGGAAGCATAATGGAGTGAAACCGATAAGTCTTCTGTAAAATGAGTTATACTGTATAATTCTCATGGTCTATGTCTACTACTGACAAGCAGGAGCAGATGGAGGGAAGGAACTGTTCGCGGCTGTGATAGATCAACACATATGTGAGCAGGAGTGGATATGCCACAGGAGGTGGCCTCTATACCCAACAAACAGAGCAAAAAATTTTCTGTGAAACACCTTCTCTCTGCTGAAATCTGCAACACCAGGGGGTGGAGAGTAGAGGACCTAGTGGACCTGCTTCCACTTATGTGGTCAATGCTTGGTCACAACTTTCTTGTCTCCAAAGTGGACTCCGCTCACCTCCCTGTCTCTTCACTGCATTGTAGTCCTGATGCTGCAAAAGTGCTTTGCTTGGGTGTGTGGGCACGTAGATTGGGGGTTGTGGTGGCCAAGCTGTGTATTGTTCCTGTGCTTCTGTGTTCTTTGCCTATTATGACTTTTTGCTCTATGTTAAATGTGGTGGAATGTGTAAGCAGAGGAACAGCAGTTGCCATCTCAGATTCTTCTCCTTTTCTGTCTAGGTTGTGACAAACAGGGACACACAGGAGACCTTGCTGTGCATAGCATATGTTTTTGAGGTGTCAACTAGTGACCACGGTGCCCAGCATCACATCTACCGGCTGGTGAAGGACTAGAGACTCTCTGCCCTGAGTCGTCCATGGGATGCATGTCTAAGAAAAAAAGCCCATGCTTGAACAACCCCTGCCCCCTCATACCAAACTGAAAAATAAACTGCAGATATTGTGTATTTTCAGAAAAGCACCTCTGAGCTGTTTTGTGATTGACAGGGTCAAATAAATTTGTATCTCCAGGTTTGTGCAAAAGGGGAAAAAACTTAGAGTCAAAGAAGCAGGCAAATAACTGCTTAAGGGTTTCACCATAAACAGCATCCTCTGGAATGTATTTCCCACAAGAGCATATACACAGGGTGTGATCATACACATAAAAGGAGTGGTATGCACCTGAGCATACAGGTAGGGCAATGGCAGTAGCTTCAAAAAGTTTGACCACATATGAACAGGTTGAAAATGTTCATGCTACATCTGGTCTGAGTGTGTGCACTCATATACATTCATTTGTAGGTCAACACATGTGCAGACATGCTTACCATACATTTATATAGATGTGGGTTAGACCTGTGTGGGCACATGCATGTGCATAGAGATTGCACGTATAACCTACATATCTGCCTGTCTAGCTGTCCACCTTAGCAGGTGTGCAGTCACAGGCTCCTTCAATCCTCCTCCTGTTGGAGGCTGGATACTGTTTCCCTGTCTTCCATGCATGATAGTGAGGGACCAACCTTTCTTTTGCCTTTTAAATGAAGTTATGCTTAGAAAATTGGGTATGTTAAATCATGTTGTCTTGCCCGGCAGACTTCCTCCATGTATCAGGTCTGCTGACTTGACTGACTAAAATAATTCTTGCTGCTTTTGCTTCAGTTAGCACTGCTCAGGGAGCTAGACTCTGCTCTTTTCATGTGCACCAGCAAAATAATTGTTTACTGGGACCAAATTGTTCCACCTGTTATTTGCAGACAGTGAGGCACACAAGTATTGCAAAAAATGCCATTTGGACAACAAATTGCAGGAAAAGGATGAGAGAGAATAGTGAAAAGAGGTTAGCTTTCCATGTTTCCAAGGCAATCAAACGCTCTCTCTGCTTTACCTGTAAACTGAGGTTGTTTACTCAAGAGTCACTGAGAGGCAATAATCTTGGTCCCCAAAATGCTGCTGATGTGGGGGAAGATACAGTCATTCATGTTACTCTGAGGAAAGAAGTGGGTTGCATGATGCTCTCTGGCAGCCACTGAACAGGCAATTTATTGGGTGGCCACGCACAGTCCCATGGTACAGACTTGGATATATGGTGTTACATCTCCTCTTCCCACAACGTATCACAACACCTTAGGAAACAACTCTCACACTTACTTCAGATGTTTCCATCCTTGTATTTTTGGCATAGAGAAAAGAACCCATGGGTACCTGAGGAATCTGAGATACCATCAGAAATCGAGGGTTTATTAGAATGCCAGAAAGTAATGGCTTCAGCCAAACACAGATGAAAACTGACTTCTTGAAAGAAGTCATGAGCCGCTTGGTACTCCCTCCTACAGCTTTGAGTCTGCTGGTTAAAGGGCTCTGTGGATTCCATGAAGATTCTGTACAACTCTTCCTACAGCATATGTAGAGGCCTGCAGACTTACGTGTTTCCTCCAGCTTCCTAACCATCTTCCTGTCCTTTAAAATGTTTCATTTCTGTATTTGAAGTTGCAAGTTGTATGCATTTACAAAGTACTCCATGGGTCTTCTCACAGATTGGTGATTTTCTTTCCTGCACATTTCAATCTCAACTCCCTTCAAAGTTTAAATCTTCCCTTGTTTTATGAACTCAGATTAATCCTTTGAGTACTTGAATGTCTAAGTCTCCACTGGGCTTTTTTTGCAAGTATTGTTGGATATTCCCCATCCTCTCACTGAAATTCATGAAAAATGCTCAGCTAGCCACCTTCCAGTGTACCATCAGCATCAATTCTACTTGGTATATTAGATTGGGGGTGGTGGGAAGGAGGAGAGAGGAAAGGAGGGAAGATTCCCTTACTGGAACACATTCCTTTTAAAACATAGTGTATTATTGTACTCAGTTATCTCCTCCAAACTCTTCATTATGCTCAGAGAAAGCACTGTCATCTTTCACATCAGCTCTCAGCTCTTTAACTTCCCAGGGATTCTCAGGCTCCTCAGCTTTTCCCCACAAGATGCTTTGGGCAATCTGCTGCTTTAGATGCTTGTTTCAGCAATCTAATTTTTTACTAGCTCTTCTTGACTATGTTCACAAGCTTCCTTGTGTGTTTCACTAGCTGTGCTTTCTCTTACCCAGCTTTAAACAAGTTCTGGTAAACACTGAACTTAGCTAGATAGCGGTAGCTTCAACCACTCCATGCAATACTTCTGAGGAATCTGCTGATGCATTGGAATGATCATGGTTTTATTTTGAAGCTGGTATTGAGAGCAATTGTTCTTTGCTAGCTCATAAGTGTAGAGAAACATGCGGTGTTTTCCTCAATTACTTAAATCTTCAGTATTCCTCTGGCTCATTGCTGGCTGATAGTATGGAGTTTCTTTATCATCTGAACTGTTTTCCAAAGCCTGTGTAAAACTTATTCAAGCCTATAATGCTGCCTCTAGGTTTGTAATATTTAGCTTATGATGTTAGGATTCAATACTGCCTTTTCTGACTGTGTTGCCACTAGGTGAGTTGATTCCTCACAAGGAATTAATATTCAAGAAACAGTAAAGAATGAACTATTAAAATTTAACTTATAAATCAAGTGAGTTAGACAAGTTTATTGTGGTAAAATCTTGATATGGGACACCCTAAATATTTTTGTCTGAAGCATGAGTTCACATTGGTGTGGCTCTCAGCAGTTAGATGAAAAACAAATGACTAAAAAGACCTTTAACAAAGATGACAGGTAATGGTGTTAACTAAGGGGAAGGTGTGTACTGAAAAAGATGAGTATAGACCCCCTTCTCTTTTAACATCATCAGTGGTCTGGAGGAGGGAGAAATCAGCAGGGTAAATTAATCTGCAGATAGCACTAAATGAGATTTTTTTGCAAGCTGAGTATGTATAGAGAACTTGAGCAACTTGAACACAATTGAAATGCTAGGCTTGAACTGGGAGAATACATTATAAGAATGATTTGAAATATGGTTTAAAATGTCCTTAAAAGAAAAAGAGAAAGATGGCAAGTGAAAGGTCAGTTATCAGAAAGATAACCAGTGCCTGAGAGGTACATAGTCAGAACATGATCCAAAATTGGACAGCATTTTGTAACTAATTGTTACTGTGTAACGTGTAACTGTCAAAGGACAGATGCACAAATACAAAACTTAGTGACAGAGATGAATGTGAGAGTCAGATGAAAGTCTCACGGTGCTACTCACACAATGAAATGGAGACATATACTGGAGGATGAAGATTTCACTATCCGTGGAAGAGGTGATGTCAGGACCTACAAAGGGTGTTTTATTTGGCCTAGCATGTGAGGAATCCTGAGGATTTCCACTTCAACAGAGATTTCAAACAGAAGACCGGAATATGCAAAGCCCTACTGAATGTACTTCATATACAGGTACAATTTTATAATACAATAGAATAAAGTTGTTCCAGCTGGAAGGGACCTACAACAATCATCTAGTCCAACTGCCTGACCACTTCACAGGTGACCAAACATTAAAGCATACTATTATTAAGGGCATTGTCCAAATGTTTTTTAAACATTGACAGGTATGGAGCATTGATCACCTCTCTAGGAAGCCAGTTCCACCCTCTTGCTAAAGAAATGTTTTCTAACATCAAGTCTGAACCTCCCTGACGCAGCTTTGAACCATTCCCACACGTCCTGGCACTGGATGCCAGGGAGAAGAGATCAGCACCTCCCTCTCCACTTCCCCTCCTCAGGAAGCTGTAGAGAGCAATGAGGTCGCCCCTCAGCCTCCTTTTCTCCAAACTAGGCAAACCCAGAGTCCTCAGCCCCTCCTCATAGGACATGCCTTCCAGCCCTTCCACCAGCTTGTTGCCCTCCTCTGGATGCATTCAAATACCTCAACACCTTTCTTAAATCATGGGTCTTGGAACTGCACGCAGTATTCAAGGTGGGGCTGTACCAACGCTAAATACAGTAGGATAATCACCTCTTTTGACCGGCTGCTTATGCTGTGTTTGATGCACCCCAGGGTGCAGTTTGCGCTCGTGGCTGCCAGGGCACACTGCTGACTCATGTTGAGCCTGCTGTCGACCAGCACCCCCAGGTCCCTTTCTGCAGGGCTGCTCTCCAGCCACTCCTCTCCCACCTTATACTGTATCTCGTGTTACTCCATCCCAGGTGCAGAATCCAGCATTTGTTCTTGTTAAATTTCATGCCATGGATGATTGCCCAATGCTTCAATCTATCCTGATCCCTCTGCAAGGCCTCTTGTCCCTCCAGAGAGTCAACAGCACCTCCCAGTTTAGTATTGACAGCAAACTTGGTAATGGTGCATTCTACACCTGCATCCCGGTCATTGATGAAAATACTGAACAGAACTGGCCCTAGAATTGAGCCCTCAGGAACACTGCCAGTGACCAGTCACTAGTTAGACAGGACTTTCCCTTTGTGAATGCATGTTGACTGTGCCTGATGATTTCATTGCTCTTTAAATCCCTTTCAATAGCACCCAGTATTATCTTCTCCGTAATTTTTCCAGGTTCTGAGGTTAGACTAACAGGTCTGTAGTTTCCCGAGTCTTCCCTCATGTCCTTCTTGCAGATGGGAATAACATTGGCTAGCTTCCAGTCCGTGGGGACCTCCAGTTTTTGTGCTCAGGTAAAGATGAGCTGCACCAGGACTAGCCTTACAACGCATATCCCTGCACTGCTGGAATCCCAGTGGGCCTGGACAACCAGTTTGATGTGGAACGGGGACTAACTGACTTCCTCATTAAGCTATTGCATGCCAGTTGATCTGTTGTAACTGTCCAAGTGCAGGTTTTTGTTCACATGTAGGAGGTCCCTCATGAGGATGAGTTTTCACCAGACATTATTGTGGAGCAGCTGACATGATACTGCCTCTGCCGTGCATGCTGCACTTCGCTGCTCATGGCCTGCGTCTAGGTCATAACCTATGCTTTGAAGCATGGGAAGGAAAGGATGTGGGTAAGGATAGCAAAGATGATGCCATGAATTCAGAGCTGGAAAAGATGGTTTGGTTCTTGTTA